TCAGTATGTGTGCGACTTTAGTAGTTGCTTTTTTTTCAAGGATATTCGACTATTCTGCTTTTTTTTTTATTTGTACTTTGAAAAATGAAAAAAGGAAATAAAAAATAAAGTTTTAAATTATAAAAGTTTTTGAATTTAAAGAAAAAAAAGTTGTTATTTTTTTTTTATGCTTTTTCTAATTCAATATTTGATACGGCTTTAACGCTGTTCTGGCATGAATATGTGAATTTCATAATCAGAATTTCATTATACATACACACTTATGTATATAGAGTGTGTATGTACATTAATATGTGCATAAATATGTAAAAATTATTGAAAATATATCCTTTATATCCATCCTTTAATGAGATTGTATTTAAATATTTTTGTGTTTGTTGAATATTTTGTGTATTTGCGTGTTTGTGAGTTTAAAATTAAACTCAATGTACGCTTTAATTTTCTAAAGAATTGAAATTATTGTTTTTATTTTTTCTTTAATATTTTAGTTTTTACTTCTTTGTAAAGAATTTAAGAAAATTTTAAATGTAAAAATACAAAATTTGATTATGCTATTGAAATGATGGCAATAAAATTAAGGCGACTTGCATGGCAGCTTTTATTTTATTTTCATATTTTGGCACAATATAGTTGAGCCTTATCTGAAATGTTTTCCCAAATCATATAATTAAGATGAACCCAAGATAATTCAAGGAACAAATTCATGAAGCTGACTATATTACCAAGGGATTTCCGGATATTGATGGCAGTGTAAATGATTTCAAGTATTTCACATGTAGAATTTGATTTGATAAATTTCAGAAATCAAAATACGAATTGAATATGTTCGTATGTATATGAAAAACTTTGAAAATAAAGCTCATATCAGAAAAAATGATTTTAAACATAGAAAGAACATAGGAAATGAATAAAAATCTAGTGAATCAGTACAAATTTAAACTGAGCTCTCATATAAACATAAAATGCAGTTATTTATAAACGAAATATTCTAAATTTATTCTGGCATAAAAAGATTTATTGAATAATTTTGGAAAAATTTGTTGACTAAACCCATTTTCTTTCATTCCATACCACAGCTATTTCCGATTGTGATAACAATTCCACTCTGAAAATTTATAATTGAATATGAAAAGCATTTTTTCATTTTGAGTGCTTATAACACCTAGCCAACAAACGGACAAATAATATTATCCAATATAAACATAATTCCGATTGGTTTACTGCCTTCAAATTGACTTGAGCAAAGAAATCGCAATTGTATTGAAAAGCCCAATAATTTTAATTAATGAGAATAACACAAGCAGGGTTAAATAATCAGTTTTATTTTTAAATGGAAAATATGGTCGAGAAAAACTTCAAAATAAATCAAAATACAATTTTTATTTTAGTGGAAAACCGAATAAAAATTTTTGAACCGGCAACGTGCAAACTTATGCATGATTCCCAATTATTCACATTTTTGTATGATATACAATCTGTAAATGTTGTGGTGCGTATATGGTTGCCTTGGGCTACTTGTTTTCCATTAAAATTGTTTTCCACTACTGAAATTCTAGGCGATTTTAAATTCTTTGGCTATTGCTATTTGAAAATAATCAGAAAAATTTCATGAAACCATTTTAGATTTTTCATTAAAGGAAATTTTTAAAAAATACTTATGAAATTTTACATATTTCTTGTTCAGATTAAAAATTAAAAGAAATTTTTCAAAACTATTCAAAATTATGAAATTCAAAAACATAATATGATCGACTCAGTTGCTGATTCTAAACATAATTGGCCTATAGAAATGATAGCAAGTAGGAAAAATATTATTATTAGAGAAATTGGGTGTATAACTAAACTTGTATGGTTGTATGATTGTACAATTTTATCTTGTGTTATTGTAGATCTTGTGTTCTCTTACGCTTATGCCTTAAGAACTCATTCAATTAACAATACAATAAAACTCTTATATTAAGCAACACAAATTTTCTGAAAATCATTAATCAAAAATTTCTCCCACAGATACAATATTTAGTCTTAAATTATTAAAGGGAAACGTGTTATTTTTCAAATCACGGCTTTTATCAACTATAATTTTTTATACTTGTAGCTTTAATAACGAATAGCTGAAAAGCTAAAATGTATTACACAATTTTTAACTTAAAAATTTAAGTTAAACACCTTTTATCTTACATAATTGTGTAAACTTGAAATTTTTAGCTTTTGCTGTAATTTTGTAAATAGGAGGAAATTCATTTGTAAGGAAACTTTTGGTAAATTCTTAAACGTCAAATTTTACAAAATCTGAGTTGTCTGAGTTTACGAATACTCTACTGCGTTTTTACTTTCAGTCAAAGTTTAAATTCTTAAACGTTTAAAAAAAGTCAATTAAGCGTCAAAATTGTAGATTTTTTTTTTTACATGCAGACAGTCTGACGTAGTAATTCAGTAAATAAATTTGATGTATTGAGTGACTATCATTACGTTAAAAATAATATAAAAAATATTTTTTTTGTTAATTTTTAATATGTAAGTATAAAACTTATTTTAAATCTAAAAAAAATTTTTTTTTTGTTTTGACGTTTACGGATGATCAAAATTTAAAGTTAATTACGGGTAAAAAGTTTATTACATTTCTGTCCGTAAAAGTTTTATACGTCAGACAGTTTGCAGACTGAAAACAAAATTTTGACGTTAAAGAATTTGCGGTTTGCTTTTAAAGCTGACCTCACTTTTGCGCAAATTTACCGATTTTGTGAGACAACAATAAACACGGATCGCAATTAATTTGACAGACAAATTTTGAAGGTGCATTTAAAAAGTTTTTTTATACTAGGTGGAATGGAATATACATTTTGTTAATATTTTTTCATTATGCAATATGAGACGTGATACTTTGCATAGTTCACACCTTTTTGACAATATAGAAGTTAGAGTAGTCAAATAAAACCAATGAGTGTTGAATAAAGTTTAAATTTCACTTGTAATTTTGTTTAAAATTACCACAAATGCAGTATCATAAATTTCTGTATTATTTGTGGGCTTGTGACAATGTGATGACAATTGAAAATAATTCATGTAAAATAAAAAGAAAATAAATTAAAATTGTTTTATTCTTATTTATTATTTCTGCTATATTAAGAGCAGTCTTTTTTTAATTTTAATAATTTCCTTTTATAAAATTTATTTTAATAAAATTACGTATATAGTTTATTTTTTTCTTCTACTTAAATTATTAATAATTTTCTAAGGAAAATCTCCTTCAAGACAACACAAGTACAAATCATAAATTAAATTTATAAGTTCTACAATTCAAAATATAAATTACAAAATTCAAATTTCAAAAACAAAAAATTCATACAAAATAAAATTCTACATACTTAATTTACATAAATTTAAATAACCTACACATCCATACACAATTAAAAATATAAATTAAAAAAAAAAAATGACATATAAATAAATTTAATTTAAATGTTTTTATAAAATTATTTTGAGTTCATAATAAATTCGAAATAATAATGCAAAAATGATTTTAACTTAAAATAAAATTACTAATAATACTTTCTTTCTAAAACATTTTCTCCATGCAACTGCTTAGTAATTTTTCTTTTTATATCACAGTCATTATTTTATATTAAAATATAAACGTTATGACGTAATCAATTGTTGACAGTTTTATAATATTTAAGGGTGAGTTCAAAAAGTTATAATTGCACCATCTAGTATTGCAATTGTGTTGACGCAATATGTTGTGTCAAGACTGCATTTATAACATTAAAAATTATACATTTCCAAAATTCGCATTTCTAACTTAGAGAACTAAAAAACGCTGCTGCAAAAACTACATATTTGATATTAGCATTAAAAAATGTTTTTAAGTTATGGAAGTTCTAAGCTTGTCAAAATGTTTTTTAAAGTTTCTAAAATGAAATCACAAAATCAAATATTTTATTATTTCCAGTTCATTGAAATATAAATTTAATTTTTTATTAAAGTAAAAGCACAAAATAGTTTCCGCAGTAGTAAAATCAAAATCTATATCTTAAATACTTCTGTATGGTGAAGTTAATATACAAACTCAAAAATAGTACCGCATTATCAAAATATTTTTTTTAACAGCATGTGCAGTACTTTATTGTTAAACACATTAAGTACTAAGTTAGAACTGAATTATCAAAAACTCACAATTTTAGCAACTACATATTTGTACTAAACATAATATGAATCCAAATTTGCGTCGATTTCTTTAAAAAATGTTGACAATTTTAATTCTCACAAACTTGTCAAAAAACTTTTTAGATATTAATTATTTTGATCGTCGTAAAATTTTGACATTTTTTTGTAAAGTACCTTCCCATTTGTAATACGAAAATTTACCAATTTGTAATTATCCGAATGCTTATTACAATACAAGGTGGACATAATGTTAAATACAAAGCACATATTGCTTTTTTAGAAGTACAATTTTTCAATACCATAATTTGTATGCCACCACATTGCAACGCGAAATTTTTGAACTCACTCTAAATCTCATAAATAATGAAAATGTATTAATTTGTTTTTTTTAATTTTTAAATTATTTGATCAGAAATATTCAAGGATTTAAAATTATATTGTGACTATTAAAGAATGATTAAAGAAAATCTTGTAATTTCGCAAAAATTATGTAATAAATTATTTATAAATTTTAAATATAAGCCTTCCGAAATCTAATATTAATTTCAGAATTTAAAAATTTTAAAAAATCTTTAATTGCCTGACATTTTATTTTTTAATTTTACACTGTTTAAAACGTAATGAAAAATGAGAAATTTTTAATCATTCAATTATATTCGATTCTAATTTCTAAATAAATACATAGTTCAAAATGTTATATAGTATATAAGTTATAATTTAAAACAAAAAATATGAATAAAATGTATATGAAATGCATTTTTGCATCAAAATAAATTAATTATGAAATATTTCTAATACTTCTGTTTTAATTACTCTCTAAATTACCATAGTTTTCTAATTTTAATAATACTAAATTCACTTAAAATCTACTAAAATATTAAAAAATGAAAAAAAAAATTAAATTTAAATAAAAATTATTGTTAACTTATTGAAATTTTTGTTGCTAAATATAAAAGATGTAGTACAGAACATGCTAATGCTGTTAAATTACCAATAGCTGCACCAGCATGAATTTTCCTAAAACGTTTATTAACATTTTGATATTGTGGACATTTTGATAAATCTTTTTGATCTAAATAACCAACTTCTTTGCCACTACCTTGAACTTTTTCCAAACTATATTTAATTTTCATTAAGGTTTTTATCATTGGTGCAAAATATAAACGTACAATTATTTCAGTTGTAGCACGAAATCCCAAAATAAATATTTGTGTTAAATCCATTTTATTCCAAGTTCCACTTTTGATTTTTATAAAACTAATAAATATTATAATACTTAAGATTGCATTTAATGCAAAATACATAGGAAACAATACATGTTGACATTGTCCAAATGTATGCCTTGGTAATGAAAAATATAGGGCCAAACCTGTAAAAAGAAATTAAAATCGTTATTAAATATTTTTTTTTTCATTATGGTTTAAGAAATTTTCGAAATAAATTAAATGAGTTAAAATGAATTGATTTGTCTCGGATAAAATCTAATTACAGATGGTAACAAAAATAGATCAGCTCTTCGCCTTAGACATTTGTAACAAAAAACATACATGAGCTTAAAATGGCTAAAAAAATTAAATTCATATTCTCTTTTGTTGAAAATTTACTTATTTCTGTGCAGAATTGAAAACTGCATGCTAAGCATTGAATTTTAATGTGTCATATGGAAATCTATTCCGTAAACCGTATTCTGTATTTTTGTTTTCACAATTAGGCAACTAGCACCTACAAGCTGAATTATGGAGCTCCACGTTATGACTCCAATTGCCAGCGAGATTCGATAGTATTGAAGCAAATTACGATTATCTGAACATGAAATTCAAAAAAGGCAACAAACTTTACTAAAGTACTGAACTAATTACACAATAATTGTCGTGATTACAATATTTTTCTCGAATTTTATTTCGTTTCAAAAAGAAATTTCTCAAGTCGCAAAAAAAAATAATTTTCGTCTTTAATAACACCTTCATATTAACGTTTAAAAAACAGAAATTTTCAAAAATAAAATACGATATTTACCTTTTTAATTATAATATTTAAATTAGAAAATGAAATTGATGATTCAACAAAATGTTATACATATGTAATTATATTTTGATACCTTATTGTTATACTAAAAATTTTGTATTTAATTTTTATTTTTTGATCAAATATCGAATAAACAATATTATGACACAATATTTATAGTAAATATCGATATGGTAATACGTGAGATACGAGATAATTAAATTTTAATTAAATATGCGTATATATGTATGTATACATAAGCAGAAAACTTAAATATTTTATTTTGACAAACACGAATTGCGCAAATACAGGTTCATATACTTAGTATAATAATATAAAATCCTTTATTGTCATATGTATAACATTTGTACACATATGGCAACAATATAATACAAAATAATTATTTTAATTTTTGCATTTAACTTGAAAAATCAAATAATAATTGAAAGACGTGCTGATGTGCTCCTGGTGAAATGAAAATTTTCTTAATTTTTGTTTATTTAAAATTTCTCTTAAAACGTTTTCCATATTATGTTTGTATTGTGTAATAATGTATTTAAATTGGTAAATTTGTTGTATATGATTGGATGAATATTTGCATTATGCTGTAAAGATCAAAATGCACCAGTTTCAATTTAATTTCTTACCTGAGAAAAATGTCATCCATATTAATGCACCAAAATGTGTTGCAACTGACAATATATATATTATTGTTAAAAAAATATTTTTCTGTTTATTTCCATATCCTAAAATTTCTGGCCATATTGAATAAAGGACAAATAAAAGGATAAATAATGATATTATATGCGCTGGTTGTGTTGTTTTTGTAATTGAACTGTAATTGATACATAAAAAAAGAAAAGAAAAATAAATAATTATTAAAAATATAATTTTTATTATTTAAAATAAAATAAAAAAAATATGTATTGAATTTTATATTTCATACTAGGTATACTGGTATACAAGAATGTTGCCTCGTACAATATTGCAATTAAATATGCATAAGTACATTTTGTCAATTTAAATTTAAAGAAATAATTCATAAAATTCGTTTGTATGGAATGCATAAAATTTATTATCATGGTTAATTAAACTTACAAAATTATATATGTATGTGTTTGTGTGTGTATATGGTTTTCATTTTAATTAATTAGCATGAAATCAACAATAAATTAAGAACAAGGAAAATTCTTTGTAATATTTTTTTGTGGTAATTATGGGTAATTATAAATTTGTGTTCTTTATATAAAATTAATGAATTATTTTTTTAATGACAATTCAAATATTAACTTATTAAAAAATATAAATTGTTGACTTAAATAAATATTTTCTCAATTTCCTTATTGTTTATTCCTTGACATAGTTAAATTTGTTATATTGGAAAGTTGAAATCATAACAAGTAAATTTTTAATTGAAAGTATTTATTGATTAATCTAAAAGATATTTTGTAATTTAAGCCCTGACATCGGAATTCTAATAATATCGTATAGATACACAATTCAGCAATTGCCATTTATAAGCTGAATTCTGTATTAATACAGTATATAATTACAATTCCGATTTTGGGAAAAATCTCGCCATCTAACTTCTACCTATTCTATTTATTAATTATGACAGTGTCCATTGTTATTCTTTACAATTACCAAACCAACTCTTAATATATGAGATGGGTACTCAATACTAAATTATATATTTAAAGAGAAGTGAAATGCATTCTCAATGCATTCCTCTCTTTCTACTGCATTAACACTTAACATAATTCTCTTAAATAAATTTCATTTTGTTGCTTCTCTTATTCTCTACCATTTCTTTTGTTCATCCATCCATATGATTTGATTCGATATAATATGAAAAACAAAAATCCTGTAACACCTTATAACTTTTAATTTTAAACAATTCAATATAAAATTCGGCAATGATAATTCCTAATATCACTATCTTATCCTATGAGTTCACCTTTTTAAAGTTCATTATAAAATTATGTACAAGCTTTATTTTTTTTATAAAGCTAAAGCGCCAGATTGTCTACTATTACGAAAATAGCCAGCAGTAGGAAAAAAAAATAATCATTTATACATAACTAAATTGTATTTTACATTTTATTCATTTTATTACATCAGAATTATATTGCAGTCATTAAGCTGAATTTGATTTTCTCTTTTAAAATTGTAAAAGTTTTCAGCTCATAATAAAATTTAAATGAGTGGCTAACAATATATTATGAACTCAGATGTTGTAAACTTATGCTTACAAAAAATATGAGTGAGTTTATTAACGTAAAGTTAATTATTGAGTAAAAATTTAAATATAAGGGAATGAAATTAAAATTTAATTTTAAATATAGAAGCGAATTGATAATTTTTTTCTATAAGTTTATTTTGGAGGAAAAACCATTTCTTATCAGCAATAATGCTTAATATATATTTTTTAGGAAATGGGCAATTCTATTTAAATTGACGTTTTATGAAGAATAATCTTAAATTTTAAGTGTAATCACTCAATGATAACGAATATTTTGATGACGCTAATTGAGATTATTGAAAAATAAAAAATTGTTTTAAGTAGAAAATGTTGAAATAAACATTTTACATAATTTTGAATGTAAATTAATCTTAAAAAATTTTAGAATTCCTTTTCGTTTAGAAAATAATTTTTATTGTACGAATAACTAGAGCATAATGAAGGATTCCTAACTAGTTCTTGATTTTTAGTACAATTTTTTTGTTTAATAATTAGTACAATTTTTTGAATTTGGAAAATTTTCAATTAATTGAAATATTGAGCATATACACACAAATAAATGTATGTATATGTATGCAAATATTATTTTATATTATAAAATTTTAAAATTTGTCAAATCTGGGTCAATAAATTTTATACAACGCATCAGTTTTTGTTATACAAGCTTATAATACATTTATCAAGTTTTGTCTTAATGTTATAATACCAAGTCATATGTATATATATGAATACTTTTTTTACTAACAAAATTTTCAATAAATTTTAAGGTGTTAAGAAAGAAATCAAAATTAAAATGAAAAAAAAAAATCAAAATCTTTGACAAATTATACCACTTATCCCCATAGATCTTTTTTTATGTATACGAGTAATATATTTGGTATATTAAAGCAAGGTTGCTGGATACAAGTATATACACACAGACACAAAAAAAACAGAAATATAACAAAAAGAAATGAAGAAGATCATACGATATAGAGGAAATACTCCATGTAATAAAAACTACTGACGAATTTTTAATAAATTATTGCGTCAGCCAAAAACAATCTTTTTTTTAGTTTTAACATTTAGTACTTAATAGTACTATAATTCTGTGTGTGTACATAATTGTGGTTATTGATTAAGATTTTGCCCCTCACAGAGCAAATATATTTAATTTTATAATCACACATTTTAGTTTTAATGCAGCCTTTATTAATAAATATTTAATTACAAGTAATTATCAATTATTGAATAAGAAATAAATTTAGTATGATTTCCTCAAATATTTAACTTGCCGAATTACCATTTTATATGTTTTTGATATGAAAGTTTTAGCTAGATTTTAAATAATTTTTGAAATAGTCTTTGTTGTAATATTCATATTTAATTACGTAAGATTTTTTTTTCGCTGAAATGAGTTCAGGAATGATGTAAAGGCCATTTAACTCCATTCAGATATCAATGGCCCCAATAAGTTTTTGATTTGAAAGAATTGAATAAAAAAGCAAGTCTAGATATATCCAACATTTTTTAGGCTCTGATGTGATTACAAGTGTGGCAACTCTGCATTAATTTCTAAACTTAAGCTACAGTGAAAATGCTATAGTCAAAATTCAACTTTTTCGCATTTTTTTTTTAATTTTTTTGATATGCAATTTTTAATTATAACTAAAAACCTATTGTATGAATTAATGATGAGTTCCAAAATATAAAAATATAAAATCAACTTGAATAATTCCTAGGTATATTATAGGTATAATATAAAATTAATTATATAATATCAAATTTTTGATTAAGACCAGAAACTTCAAGTTTGTCAGCTTTCAATAATTTAAAATAAATCAATCAAGATTTTGATTTTGAAAGTTATTGTTGCTTTTCTTAAAGCATTCCGCTTCAGAAGTAAAAAAATTAATTTATTAAATTCTCATGTTTTAATTTAAAATTTTATTGCTTATATTATTATCGGACATAAGTAATTAATATTATAAAGAAATGTAGTTTAATTCTAGATATAAACAAGTTTAATTAGAATTTTTGCAAGTATTGTACGAGAGTTGGCATATACTGCAAAGTGGTATATAAGACTAAACAAAATTAACATTATTTATGAATAGAAAATTATACTCACTTGTATAAATTTGATCCTAAAAATGCATTATAAATTTCACTAATTTTATTAAATAATATTTTAGTTAAATGTGTTCCATATGCTAAAATATCATTTTTATTAATGAAATTTTTATTATTGCAATTATTTTCATTAATATTTTCTTCTTCCATATTATTTTCATCAATTATATTTTCATTACAGTCACAATTATTATCTAATTTATTTAAATTATTTTCATTTAAATTAATACTATTTTCATTAATTATATTTTTACTACATTTACTACATTTATTTGAGTTATTCATAATATTTTCAATTGTGTTACAAATTTTTAGCGGCATTCCTTCTTCTTTATGAATTTTTTTAACTTTATCACGAATTTCTTGACACATTTTGTCATTTAAAATAAAATTAACACGTTGTTTGTTTTTTTTTTTTATTTTCTTTAATAAATATTTTAAAAATTCCAAAAATTTCAAAATTTATTTATGGCACGCGACTTTTTTTTCTTCTTGTCTTATCTATACATACTTGTATAACAATTATATTCTAGGTATATCAAAATACACACGCACCTTTATGCTTTATTTTAATTTTTAATTATTTTTTTTTTTATTTCATAGTATTTAATATAATAATTAAATATTCATTGTATTTAGTTGCTTTAATTAAATTCAATTATTTACAGGAACAAGAAAAAATTTTTTTTTATCGAAAACTATTAATCAAAATTCTTTTATACCGTTAATATTTTTTTTTCTCTCTCTTTTTACTTTTTTACTTTTTTTATGTCTTTATTGTTCCGAGTTTTTATTTAAATTACTTGAAATGAACTGATTTGATCGTTATTTATAGACAGGGTTTTCAAAAAAAAAAAACAAGAAAAAGAAAAATCAAAAACGAAAGTTAAAATATTGTGCTGAATTTTTTTGCTGAATGTGTTGGGAAAAAATTTTTGTGATTAACCGATCGTTTCATTTTTATTTTATGCCGAATTTAACAAAAAAATATGTACGAAACGAATAAAGTTGTTTTTCTCTTTTAATGAATGAATGAGACAAATTTTTATTAAGAGAAACTTATTGAAAATATTGTCTTTAAAGCTTATAATTTAAGAGTAATTTAATGAAAGCAGCATTCAGCATATCAACAAATGAAAATATAATTGAGAAATAATTTTCTTTAATTCTTTTCAAAATTACTACGCGCCGCGATCTTGTGATTGATTATTAGGAAATTTTGAAATTTGGGGTAAGCATTAAGACATATTGAGAAATCATCATCTACTAAGAGGCTGAAATGGCAGAACAATAAAAATTAACGTTTTTAATGTAGAAAGCAACAACAAACTATTGTTACTATACTGAATTGGGCACTAGATTGGACTGTAAAGTAAGAGAAATTTGCTGACTATTGAGAGCTGAACATGAATAAATGGTCTCTATAATAAGTTGTCCATAAATTAATGATGATTGATGACGATCCGTATTTGCTTCTTTCGCATTATTGAGAAATTTAACATTTAAAATAACTTGAAATTAAACCCAAATGAATAGATAAAATTTAAATTTGTGAAAATTTTGTCTTTTAACTAATATGCAGGTATTTTATAAGAGACAAATATCGTAAAAATTAAACACCCTTTTAAAGATTTTAATAATAAATAATTATTTGATGAAGTTTTAATGTAATTTTCAGAATTGCATATTAATTAACATTCAAAAAAAAAAAAACCCCAATTTTCAACTTGCATCCGCTACTATTTTTATTGGTCAGCCTCTACATTTATTAGGGAGTTTCTTCTTTATTGCAGAAAAAAAGAATGACGTAATGTAATCTTCGTTTTGTAATTCGGAATAAAGAGAATTTTACTTAGAAAAAGTATTTTTAGTTGCAAAGGAAATAACTCGGATATTGAAAAACAATTAAGATTTATGACCACAAATCTAATACTCACATAAATTTCTTATTTTTTTCAATGTGATTTAAATATGGACTTTTGCTTTTTTGTTTTGGAAGATCTTTCTAAGAAATATTAAATAAGATCCTAAAAATATTCCAAGAATTCATTAATTTAAAAAAAACAAATTCGAATGTTTTGTCAAACATTTTTGTTGCGAAATTTTTAAGAATTTTGTATGATTTTACACTTTAAAATGAACTTTGAGAGGAAAATTGTTTTTTTTGTTTAATTTTTTCTTTTTTGACTTTGTCATCATACATCAAGCACCAGTACCACCACCACCACCACCGGATGGATAAACAATTGTTATTGTGATATTAACAAATTCACTAATTTTGGTTATTTGTCTCGTTGTTTTTTGTTTTTTTTTTCATTAAGTAGATAATTTTAATTTTCTTAGAAAGCTTTCAAATTTTCATATTTTGTATGTTAATTTATGTATGTATGTATATTGGTATGTATATACATATAATATTCCCATGTACGTATATTGTACAGTACGAATTATAAATTATTTATCCAGAATTATTTATTAGATGTTAAGAATAAATTGGATAAATAGATGGGACAGAGAATGAATCATTCGTAAAAATTTAATTATATTCACATACTATTCGTATTGTAGAATACTTGGTAATATTTTCGATTAATGTCACCCATTTATTGATAAATTGCGGATTCAAAAGAAAATTTTTTTAATTTATCCCATTAATATTATAAATCAAAAGAAAAATACAAGAATTAGACACAAGTATTGTTTGTTACTCATTTAGTAGTAAGGTACTAATTCCCTAATTTCCTGTATAAGAAGATAGCATTTTAACCGAATAGTAGAGTTGGAACGGTATTATTGAAATATTTTAGCCATATTTGTAACTTTTCTCGGCTAGCAATGCTTAATAGAAGGTTAAATTATGTTCCGAAGGGTACACATAGGCCAAGCAGGCCTGTTGTAATACCGCAGGATCTCTGCTTTCGCGCTCCTCATTCAAACCAGCACGAGCTCTTCAAAAACCAGCTTAAATTTTACCCACGCTTATATTCGCTCCGCAGCGCGCCCGAAGAAGTAATATCCAAGAAATTTCTGCCTGGAGTGCGCCAGTGCCAGACACTAGCACAGAAGGTGGGTCACTGTTTCTTCCTCCTCTTTGTCACAGCAACTCCTACATAGATCTTTGTTTTAACCTGACGTTCTTATTTTAACAATTTGATCAACTTCAAATTTAAAGTGTCATTTTCCGTTCCATGAACATGAATTGGAAATTTTCTTTGACTATGCAAAATGTATTTAGAATAATGAAAATATTAAAAAAATCAATAATATTTTTAATGAAATTTCAAGTAAACGAAAAAATACTCATTCAGTATGTTGTATCAATATTTGTTTTCTGTAAGTCCAAAATCTAATGAGCAAATATTTGCTTTGCCAAATGCAAATTCAAAATTGCAGGTGATAATTTTGTTTTAAGTAAAATTATATATTAATCAATTTAAATTTGATTATAGAATTAAATTAAAAAACTAGTTTAAAAAATCAAAGTTTTTTAAACATGAATAATTTTCTGCATAACTTTTAATTAACTAATGAGTTTAGAAGATCCGGTTGTTCAATGCGAACCGGAATAATCAAAATTTTACTCAATTTTTTAATCTTAATGTTTTAATATTTCAATTGAGATATTTAAAACTAAATTTGATTACACACTTCTTATGAATTAATATTAAAATAATAATTTTATCGGAACTATGTACATATTTCACATTAATAAACTAATTAATTTAATGTTGAATACGCGGCCATAATATTCTACATTAAATTAGTTTATAAATTGTACATATGAGTACATGAAGTTGTAGTTTCTTAATTTTGTATAAAACAAATATAATAAAATCAATTTAATTCAAAAATAATTTAATTATAATATTTTTTATTTCCTTTCTTTCAGGTAAGTGAACCACAAATGTCAGAATTGTAAATGAGACTAAAGTCACACAGTTGAGTATGACTAGCTATACTATTATAAATTGGTCTTTTCTCTTAAAAGGTTTTAGGCTTAAATTTAAGCTTTTCAGCTTTAATGTTTAGAATTATTTTAAAAGAAAAACTTTTATTTAATTATTTTTCTTAAGAAATACGCATGTCAAGTTTAATCTTCTCTTCGTAATGTTGATATAGGTGTTGATATAATGTTGAGGCTGTGCAGAGACAATTCCTTCGTTTTACTCTTCATGGTATGGATTGGTCGGATCCGTTTAGACTGCCTCATTGCCCCCTTATGAGGGTAGGCTTCAGCTTTTGAACTTAAGATCGCTATATTGTCGTAGGTTGGTTTCCGATATAGTTTCCATTCGGTAGTTGACCCGATTTTATTAGGTTGGATTTCTTACAGAGAGAATCCTAGTAACCTTAAGTAGTCCGGGCTTTTCAATGTGGCGCGTCGCAGTACGGACTATAGGGTGCATGAACCGGTGAATCATATTTTGCTCGAAATTAACTTGCATTCGTCTGTTTTTTGTATGAACGTAAGTAAGAGGGTTCTTAAAGTCAGATTTTACATTGATTATATTTTAGCATTGATTTATTTTAGTTGCATACTTGAATTTGGTTGTTTATTTCTTAAATTACCTATTAATCTTAAATTTTTACTACTTACTATTATTATCTTTTTTTCCCTCTTCCCTTCCCTTTCCACCTATAAATGATGACGATTTTTGTTATACTATAGATGCTTGTATTAAGCAGTCGTCTGATATATTAAAAAAAATTTTTAAATGTAAATTTTTTCAAGATTTTTTATAAAATGAATAGATAACATGCATTAATTCTGTACACCACTATGGGGATTTAAATTTTTTAATGAAATTTTTTGATAAAAAATTCATTGCATAAATTATAATATTTTCTTTTCAATATAATTGGAATACTTAATCCTATATAAAAATTATAAAATTCTATTTCTAGAACTAAAAAGCTTTTTAACTATTTTCGCTGTTAATTATAAAGATTAAGAATTTATAAATAATTATTATCAAAAATAGCAAGAACAAAATCAAATAATCCGAGGTGATTGCTTCATTAACAGAAAATGAAGATTTCAAAGTAGGATTATTGAAATTTTATTTTGAAATTTTACACTGGTTCAAGCAAAATTCTCGTAAAATTAAAAAAATACCCTTTATTTTGAAAAATTAAATAAAAAAATTAAATTGAATTTCGAATTACTCTTATTTGTTCCCTTCAATATATTTTATATAAATGCATGTATACAGGAAATTACAATGTTAACGTCACAGACAATGCAAAATTGCCGTCATAATTAAGTCTGCCACTTGATATTCACTATATTATGTATATAACAAATATTTAACTAATCATTAAGAAGGTGCATGATGCAATTATAGCCAAGCAGTGTTATCACAAATATTTATTTTAAAGCACATTTTCTATAATATTTTAGAGTTAATAAATCATAATTTCTATAAAATATTGAAAAGATAAGAAATGCGTCTATCATGTTATAATTGATTTACATGACATATCAAAAGAGACAATATCAATTTATTTGCAGAAATAATGTAGATGATTTAGTAAAGAATTTGATATTAATGTTTCATGTGTGTACATTTACATTCCTGGGGTTTGATATTTTTATAAATATTTCCTGTAAATTGAAAATTAAATTGCATAAAATATTATTTTTGATAAGCTTCTAATTCTAAAGAATTCATACACTGTTGAAACAAAATCCAAACTAATCAATTGCAGTGCAACGTCCGGAAATTCTTATAGCATTTAAGAAATGATGATATTTTAATAATAGATTTTGGAAAAATTTAACATTAAATATTAAAGAGGTGAGTACCACACCGTACGGGAATTAGATTTAAGAAGCAATATTTTATGGGGATTTTACATTTGAAGCAATCCTTTTTATCTTCTTGTATTGCTCTTTATACCAAAACTGTTAAAACAAAATTGTCTTATACTTTGCAATGGGCTATATGGGCATTATTTTGTCCTCAATTGCATAAAGAAAACATACTCGTACTAGTTCCATAATGGCATGAATGTCGTATAAAATAATTTAACTACATTGATAACTTTTCCAACTCCTTCATTAAATCACTTACAGTTAGTCCTCGATGTTTCAAATTCCAATTATAAGGAATATATCGTAAAACAACTTTGTTTTCAACAATTTATGTATTGTTATATTATACATATATGTATATATATAGCATTATATGTAATGTTGACTCATATTCTCTATAGCTATACTCTTTGTCAAATGATTGTAACAAAAATTCGTACCGCGCAACACAAATTACTCTTATACTTATACCAATATTCTCTCACCCGTATTTTAAATTAAACCTTCAATATCGTCCATTATTTTACGACTTCTAACTGACCTAACACATATACTTTTATAAATGTATAACAATTTTTATGTTTTCACCTAAATGAATGAAAAAATATCTTTGGGAAATATTAAAGAAAGTAAATATTTCACTTTTTATTTTATTATAACAATTACGAGTATTACAAAATATTAAACGGATACGGTTTTGTATATTTTTAGTTACGGAATATAATATGCGGTATAACAGTAAATATAAAATTTATTTATGGTAACCATTCTCATGACTCAGTATAATAAAAATGTTAAATGTTTAATTTCATCTATAATAAACAAACAAACTAAATGCTAATCATGGCACTAAACTTATCTTTAATATTACAATTTTTTTTGTTATAAATATGCGTACTCTATATCTATGTGTGTATGTAAATATGTTTGTATACACGAAGCCTCTAATCCATATTTAACCCTTTTCACACGAAGTAAAGTATTTTTTTTTTCGTTTTATTGTTTTCCGTTTTTATTTTCTTTTTTCCTATCTAACATAATCAGAAATTGTTTTCGTTTAATTGCTTTAACATATAATGTGATAAAACACGCAATTATCCTTTTTAAAATATGCACATTATGTTAAACAGATATACATATATATGTACTGTGAATGAATATATTCATAGAATTATTCTAAAAGCCTTTATTCATTATGATTATAACTGCTATACAATGAATTTATATTGTTATATTTATAGTATATAAAATGTCCTTTAGTTCTTTTAGTTCCTTTTTCACATTTTGTTGAATTATAATAAAAGTTTTTTCGTTTTTTTTTCTCTTGAATATACATATATGTATATGAAATACAAAACTAAAATTGTTAACTCACTCATAAATCATTTCACCTAAGGCGCGGCGACGGCATGTATGCCTATTGCCTACTATATACCATGAACCAAAAAAATGAAATAATTTTTTGAAATATATAAATTATAAAAGCAAATTAGAGAATATAAACACGTTTATTTGGCCATGCCTAAGGTATTGGCGAAAATATAATATTAACAAGTAAAAATGTTTTAGTCGATCTGAACCGACTGGATTACACTCTGCTGCACCTTAACAATATAAAAATCTGTTTTTGAAATATTCAGAATTTTTCATAGTTGTATGACAGTTTTTGCAATCTGTTTAACCATTCCATAGAAACTTCATAGATATGTCTGAGCTACAGGAATGTAGCTTTGTATGGCAGTTACCCGAACCAGTGAAGCCATTCCATTAAAATTTTTAGAACATATGTGAACACGCATATTAAAAAATTTCATATTTATACTCTTATTAGTTCTTGAAATACATATGTATTTAACAAAATCTCTTTGAGTTGTATGACAGTTACCCGAACCCATCCCATAAATAGAATCTGTCCTTGGCATAATGTTTGCTTTAATCGTTTTCGAGTTATCGTGCGATCGGACCGACGGACGGACGGACAAAATCAACACAAAATTCTACGCTGAGCAAGAATATACGTATATATTCCATACCACGGACGTCTCCTTCAACAGCTTAATTCCGTACCAAAGTTAATATAACCCTCACAAAGGTGCAAGCCATAAAAAGAATTAAATAATATTTTAATATTAGACGAAATTCAATAATTCAGTCCATATTATTGAATGATGAGCATATATGATTTAATTAATATTGAAAATAATAATAAGGTTAGTGTCTTAATAGCCCCGAAAATATAATATCTTACGTACTAGAATATTCTTTGCTTACGTACTAGAAAATTTTTTAATTAAAAATTTTTGTGTCTGTGTATATTCGACATGATCTGCTATATTTGATATATTATGGGATTAGGACTTGTTCGGGTATTAAATAGAAACAAAATGTTCAAATTACATTAAATGCGGATGAAGAAGAGAATTAAAATTTCCGTTATAACCAAAATACCCAAAACATTTTGATTTTTAATTCAAAAGGGTAATTCTTAATAATATTGAACTCCAAAAATTTGGAAAATTTATCAAAAACTTCAACATGAACAAGTTTTTGTTCGCAATATTCCTTCTCTTACACAATATTTTCCCCAGTATTACAAACGAAATCATAGTTTTCAGTTATCCTTTTTATTAGCAGTTTATATTAAAAGTTTTTTTTTTATAACCACAATTGATAAACTTAATTTTCTCCTCCCCACCGCGATTCACTATGTAATTTTTTGATTTAAGCAACAGATAAAATGTATATATATACATATATAATTGTAGAATGAGAAGGAAAATAATAAAAATAAAAAGAAACACAATTATAAAATCCTCAAAAAAAAAGAAATAAAATTATGGTATGAAATGTGTATGAGAGTTATAAGCAAATAAAAATAATGGTATAAACTATTCTAATAAAAAGTGAAAAATTATTCATTAATTCACCTCACCTAACCACACTTCTTACTTTTAGTTGAATGATTCCATTAAATACAAAGTTATTCAAAAGAATACCAAAATTATCCAATTGAAAATGTTAATTGAGTTTTCAGTCTTCATACGAAGTTTTTCATTTAAAACTATACCTCGAAACAATTTGAGAGTTCCGATTACTATTTAAGAATTCTTAAATTTTCTATAGAAAATATGATAAATCATTCCTTTTGAAATAAAGTAGTAGTAAGCTTACGCAATTTTACAATATTACGGTTACTGTACAGGGACAACTTTTGAAAAAGTACCATAATTGCGATTAAGTGATAAAAAGCTATCAGTTGTTTGTAAAACACACTCACATTTCATGAAAAATTTATATGATTGATAATTGAAATATAGTACAAGGGCATTCATTTCAAACAGTTTATTATTATATAGCTTTTACCGTAATCTAATACATGCATAGTTTTCTCCAAGAGTTCTAGAATAAAGTTTCCTCCAAGGCGTTTTCGATTCCTTAAACGACATAAACTGTTCTTTTTATTTTAGAATTCTATACATTTTTGGAAGGAAAATTAGGATTATATTGCGTTGCATGTTGGGCTCGGAAGCGCTCAATTGCAGCCATTGTTTTCTTCAAATCCTAAAAAATCTGATTATGCATTCAAATTTGCTACGATTTGTTAATATTTTGAGAAATTAGATTTATTATCTATAATTATGGTAAATATTAACAATATCAGAAGAACATCAATAGTGTTGCATGCAAAAGAGGTACTTAGCAATTCGGATTTATTCAACACTATATTAAATTCAAAATGATATTTAATAATCTTCTAATTGAAAAACCTTATGGAGCTACAAGGAAAAGAGAGCACTAACTTACTTTCCTAGTGAAAAATATATTTGTATGCTAAAAAGCATAATGTACATAAATTTTCTTTCAAGCATATGTGAGTTGCTAATACGTACACACCATTTATTTATATAGTATTTATATGTTATAAAAGGTATGTATGAAGGTAT